AAACTTTAAATTTACAAGAAAAAGAACTGCATATAGAGTAGTTCAATGCACTTAAAATACATATTACAAATGTTTTATCAGTGGACAACATTTTTATTTTAGGACAGTTTGCCTTAAAGCTATATTGACTGACAAAGTTATGTTTTTATTATTTTCTCACTGTGTAAAATAAAATGCTGAATTCTCTGCATTTTACAGTTAAGCTCGTTTTTAAAAAACTCAATATAATATTAACGTTATTTGACCAAGAAGTAATGTGTATGCAACATCTTTTTAATGTAGTCTTGTCATTTATGTAAAGAAATGAGTAAGAAATGATTTCACATAGATTAAGTATTTTGGTTTAAAAAATAGTAGAGTAATAGAAACAGAAAACTTACCTATACATATTCAAAGACTGTTTATATTTATCTTACCAAAAAGCACTTTTATTCTTTTAAATTGGTTAACATGGTCCCAAAACTCTGCTTTTATGATTGTCTGTTATTTATATGTATTTTGTGAGTGAAGTGAATATCCCTGAAAGAAATGTGGAACCTAAAATTCTGAGCCGGGGCAGGGACGTGAAGGCATCAGCAGCAGCTCACACAGTGGAGCCGGGCTCATCACACAGGTTTGTCCACATTTAACTCACTTTAACTGTAATATTGTGAGTATTATTCATTATTAAGGTTGCATATGATGACATTTGTGTTGGAGTAACGTTATGTAGCAGCTCAGTCGGTTTACAGGTAAAGAAACATAAAGAAACTCTCCGTAAACAACGTTAGAAGTTATTTTGTTAGCTTAGCCAGAATGAGACCAAACCTCATTTAAAAAACTTGAAAGTTTAAAGTTTTCTTGGCTGTTTGTAAATGTGCGTTTCGGTCAGGACCTGGTTTATATTTCTGGTTATATTATTGGAAGCCACTCTTTAATTCGGCGTTGAGAGAATTCACAATACATACTTACATTTTTTTGTTTTAATACTTTATATAATAACTCTTTCGCTTTCTAATCCATTGGAGTTTTAAAATCCACTAAAAGTGTTGCGTAATGCTCAGCTAACTGTTGCCCTTTGCCAAATGAGTCAGAATCTGTCTGTTAACAGATGTGATGTGCAGAAAGGTTCGTTTTTAAACAGAACAAGCTTCCTCCTGCAGACTGCTTAAACTAATGGACACTATAACGCCGCTGATTAGAGGGGTCGCTTGATTTGAGTCACATTGCCTTGCAGGTGGGCGGGGTAGGTTTGTGGTAAAGTCACGTTTTTGCAGTGTCCCTTTGTGGTTACCTTTCTTTTTCTTTTTTTTTCTGCCTAGGTGGGACAATGGCAGGCCTGTGGAGAGCCTACCAAGCACTGATGACCAGATACCCCTGGACAGTGCAGATAGTGACCGCTGGTAGGGTGGAACTCTTTCACAACACAGATGAATTAAGAGATGCAGAAACTCACTTAAACTCACTTTTTGGTTCAGATAAAGTGAGAGTGAGTGATGACAAAAACAGGAAGGGAGGGGGGGGGTTAAAATGTTCAAATGTTTCATGACCTTTGCTCCAGATCTCAGTTTGTGAGTCAACAGAGAGAAAGGTCTTTGAACTGATTCACCAAGATCATGCAACCTGCAACGAACAAACGTAATCAATATTAATGTAAATGTAATATATAAATGAAATAGAAGCCCTTCAAATTTCAGGACGTAATAGCTTTTCCTAAATAAATGAAACCCTTTGGATTTTTATTCTGTTGGTAAGGTAAAATAAGTGATTATAGCTGTTAACTTGTGAGCTTTGTCAATAAAGTCACTATATAGATAAAGTTTTGTCATCAGAATCATTTATTAAGATGCTATAATCATAAAGCAACCCTACAGTAACTTTAAGAACTGTAAGAAGAGTGAATAATGAATCAATGAATAAGAAAAACAAATAATAAATAGATGTATCGATGATGTAAGTGATTGTTGCAGCACTACTGATCAGGAGAAATCAAAGGAAGCCGATTAATAGTTCAGCCAGTTTCCCAAACAACCTGTGAGCAAAATTATGACCTTTGACCCTTCATGAACTCTTTTGTCTACTAAATGTGGTGACTACATCTGTACATGTTATTACTGCAAGATTTAACTCTTCTTCTAATATCTAAATATCTGAGCAACAGTTTAATGTTCATGTGTCTATAATCTATAATCTATAATCTAAATATCCAGTACTGTAGCCTGAGCCTGTGTAGTACAGTTTAACCACCACTAGATGGAGACAATGCTCAGCAGTAGTTTGAAGCATGTGAGTGTCTCTGAATAATGGAAACACTGTAAGACATTATCAGCACTAGTGGAGTGTAATTAAGTACTCAAGTACATTTTTTAACTTATATTGATACTTAACTTCAGTATTTCCATTTTATGCCACTTTATCCGTCTTTGTTATTTGACACTTTCACTTTAGATATATATATAAACCTGTTCTGGCACTTGAATTCTACAGCGTTAAAATGCTCTTAAATAAAAACTAAAGTATTTCTACTTTTACTTAAGCAAAGGATCAGAGTACTTCTTCCACCACAGCGTTTCAGTCCTTGCATCTTATATTTAAATCAGTTTAAGAATTAAAAAACAAAAGTTTAAATACAGTTTCACTTTGAAAACTGCAGAAAAAGCCCCGAATGCTGAAATTCACACTAATTAAGCTACTTTTTTTCCTGTTTTAAAGGTAAAACATTTTGGGTGGTTTGTGAATACGACTACTTTTTGTAACATTTGGATGTTTTTTTTCCAGCAAAACTCGAGGCTGTATTGTAATGAATCGGCCACATCTCTCCTCAAATTAGAATAGACATGTCATTGAAAGAGTTCAACTGACTAAATCAACAAACTAAATGACATTTTATTACAACAAGGGTGAAACGTTCTGAGTTATCTAACATTACCTTGAATCTAGCGTTATCTAATAGTGTTACTATACATTTATATCAGAAATGTAAAAACTGGGGCGACTTTTATGATGCGTGAGGTTTGACTGAAGTCCAGTCAGTCTTCTCTCTTAGTGCTCTAGTGCCAATCAGGGTGTGTGAGTCAAAGTGACACTTGTGTTTATTGCTCTCAAGGTGAACAAGTGACATTTTCTCTTGGGCCAGTGTGTGTGTGTGTGTGTGTGTGTGTGTGTGTCCACCTTGTCAGCCTAACTACCTTTATTAGTTCCCCTCTGACATTTTAAGGAAAGGTTAGCTCTTGTTCAGCTCAGTCTGTATTATTACACTCTGCTGTCAACATTTTGTTTGTGAGTTTTTTTAAAAGATTATTTTTGGGGCATTTTCTGCCTTTTATTGGATAGGGACAGGAAATGGGGGAGTGAGAGGGGTATAACATGTAACAAAGGTCGCCAGCTGGAATCAGACGGTTGTAACTGTTGGGCTGTATGTGACCTGCAGTCAGTGACATTATGTGGAGTTGAGAGCTTTTTCCACCAGTTGAACGGGTAAATGTACACTAAATGTTATCTTAAAGTGAGTTAAATTCACAGTTTTGGTTTTGTTTGGTGCACCAAGTAGACTTGAGGTTTGATTTCACAGCACACTTTCACACTCATCGCCCTGGTGTCCAGCAGCAGCAGCAGCAGCTCGCTGGTGAACAGAGAGTCAGATATTTCCCTCAGGAGACCAAACCAGAGCTAAAAGGACACGACTCCAAATGAATGCTTATGTTCTGTGTCTGCTGGATTCATAAAGGATGTTTGCTTTAGTGACATTATATCATTGCTGTGTGTCTGTAAGCTTGTGGCAGAGTTCTTATTATTGCAGCTTTAAACGCGTTAAAACCACAGTTGTAGGAGACTCCCATCAACAAAAGCCTGCAACTGGTCTCAACAGCAACAATGCCTTTATGTTCTGGGATGGCACACTAAATGTGAATAAGCTGATTGGAGACATTGTGCTGAATATGCTTTTATTTCCACAGCAGACATTCGGACTTGTCAGAATAATAAATGCACAAGTGAAACATATTTCATCAACAGTGCTCCACCAAGTGGCCCAGTAACCCAACATTAACCCAGTAAAACAATATGGTGTAGTGGGTAGACTCTGTCCCCTGAAGGACAAATGTTATAAACAGTGACAACAGTAAAGATCATTAGGAAATGAACACAGAAGAATCAATACTGGCCCACAGACAACTACATAATGATGCATTTTCAGTGAAGTATTCCTCATTCCTTACTCCATCCACTCATTCACTACTGACTGACTGACTCCGCACTACACCACTGCCTAACCCCTAACCACGACTGTGTGACAGCATGCACAACACCAGGGCCCTTTAAACTAGCTCACCTAAATCAAACACAATGCTATCTTTTACTGTCACTGCTATGAGGCGTCAAAATAAACACCGCGACTGACGTTTCCCCACTTGGCTGCCTGTATTTACAGTCTATTTATGATATAATGTACAATACTAAAGTCTGTTGTAGCTGCAGTGAAATATCATCCTTGTTTGTACAGTCATCCACAGGAATAATGTCACCTCTGTCACACACTGTCTGTCTCCTGTTTGTCCTCCAGGGTCTTTAGTGGGTGTCGGTGATGTCATCTCCCAACAGCTGATTGAGAGAAGAGGATTGGCTCATCACAACGTGCGGCGGACGGCCAAGATGATGAGTATTGGTTTCTTCTTCGTGGTGAGTAGTGTCCTCTGGGCTCTTCTTATATATGTCTGTTTAAGTGTGGCAAGTTGTGTGGTGATTTGCTGGATCTTATTTCTACCATATTTGTCCAAATATTCACCAAACAAAGGAAAACAGTCTTGGTGCCTACTCACAGCAGCAACACCATGAAAATGACTTAAATTTGAAGGATAATAAGCAAAATTACCTTTAATTATTGACTGATTTATTGCCTAAATAAAGCTTCCAGTGTTATACTGAATACTGAAATGAAAGGATACAGCAGATACAGTATGATTACTCCCTTAAAATCTTCGCTTTTTATGTCTATTCGGCTATTTAACGTGAGAAACATTAGGATATTCGTGTTAAACGTTACATTCAATGTCATCAAAAATCATATTTGTACATCTCTAAGTGACCATTTAAACTGTGTGTGTGGGTGATTATCCATGTTACAGTGTTTCCTCATGCCTTTTGTTCCACCCATCACTTGTTGTGACAGCCGCACAATTCGCCTCTAAAGTCATCACCACGACGTAGACGAAGTTTATTTATATTTCCATAATCGTTTTACGTTCCTCCAATCGGCTGCGTCGTCGTTATGAATTATAGAGAGGAGGAGACGTATAGACGCTTGTCTCGAAGGGCAGCTCTTCAAACACACGCAGGAGTCGCGTTACACCTAAGACATGTTTGCTCATTCATCTAGAAAGACACAACTGTTTCATACATCGTTCTTCCTCACGTTAATAATGTATTAAAGTCCTGCTCTTGTCAAAAGCATGTTTATTCTTGTTCCTGCGGCTGGATGTTTGATCTTCACTCTTATCTGCTGATATGCAGCTTATACAAGTGGGATGTAGAAACTTGAAGCCACCAATGCACAAACACTGAGAATGGACTTTACAGTGAAGTAGGAGACATCTTGTGTCCAACAGGAAAATCGTATTCATAGATTCTGTCATTTCTGCAAAAGTAGATGCAATTTTAAGCTATTATAAGTAGCTTTTTTTAACTTAAATAATATATCAGACACACATTATTCTTCCAAGCAGACTATCTGTATATATGTCTTAATGCATGTCTGGAGGGGATCTTTAAGTTTGGTTGTTTAATTCAGTTAATCAGCAGTCAGATACTAATGTTTACTGAGTTTTCTTTTGTGTAATGTGCGATGAGTTTTTCAGAGGAGGTTTTAAGAATAATAAAAGAGAAGAAGCCGCATTCATCATGCTTTTTTTGTTTGTTTTACAACAAAGGGTCCAGTAATCGGCACCTGGTACAAAGTCTTGGACAGGCTGGTGGTTGGAGGAACTAAAAGTGCTGCCATGAAGAAAATGCTGGTTGATCAGGTGAGAGAAACATCTGAGTCGCCTGCTGTAGTCTTCATCTCTTCTACTTCTTCTACCTGTTGTTGTTGGCTAAAGACAAGGCTGTTAACAAACAAGTGGAAACAAGCTGAATGATTGACCCCTACTACTGTGTGTGAGTGTATTTCTGTCTTCCGCTCAGCCTCAGCTCGTTAATGGTGGCCAACAGTGGCTGAATCCCGACCACAGAGATACAATTTCCTCATATCAGGCTGAAAGACTTTGTCGTCTTGACAGGAGGAAACCCGAATTGGAACAAAGCTATTGAGCTGTTAGTGTGAGGGACAGTGTGAGAGCCGAACACGTCTGTCCTAAATTCACTCACTGAATCTGTTGCACTGTATTTTTAATGCCATACATGATGCTAATGAGACTCCACACTGTGCAGTTCTGGTCTGTCCCAGATGAAAGCTGACACTCTTAAGAAAAATGTGATAATCTTCATCGATTTAATTAATCAATTAAAAAAAGATTAGTCTTAAATTGTACCATTGGAAAAGGCCATTAACTGTCAATTTAGAGCTCTAGTGTCCAGAGACGGGCTGCGTCATTCAGACAATATCAGAAATGTTGTTCAAATTGAACTAAAACAACTGATGTGACTGAACACAATCAACGTTATGCCACTGCTGAAACATGTCTATATTATGTACCTCAAACTCACAGGTGTAGACCGTACTCCTTATACAATGATTGACAGAGACCCAACAGTTCCCACCATGAGCAAGCACTTGGCGACAGGGGCAAGGAAAAACGTCCTTTTTAAGAGGCACAAACCTCGAGCAGACCCCGGCTGTAGGTGGGCGGCCGTCTGCCTCGACCGGTTGGGGTTAGAGAGAGAGAGATACACAGCAGTAACAAATATAATAGTAGAAATATGACTGATATTGATGATGGTGAGAACAGTCATAATAAAGATGAATAATGAATAGTAATGACGATAATAATAATATGACTAATAATGATGGTCATGACAATGGTGATAACACTTCCCTTCTGCTCCTGTTTTGTTTTTCCTCATCCTTTACAATTGTACATATGTAAATATTGTACAATATGACACAGATTTCAATATTTATTCGACCCATCTTGAGGCGTGACATGGAATCAACTTGTAGGATTGTTAATGCACAAGCTACAGGCTCATTTAAACAATTGATTTACTTATTTACTCTGTAAAAATAGTAACTTTTTGTGGCATTAATCAAACCTAACAGGTGCAAAGTGCTTTAGAAAAGGCAACATAAAGTAATTTTAAGATTAAGACGAGAAGAAAATATGCAACTGTATAAATGTATCCGAGAGAGACAGACTAATACTTATCACTAATATTGAGTAAACATAATAAGGTAAAAGTTGTATCATTAAATGCAAAGACAGTAAAAGCTATAATTCAGCTTTGTTTTGTGTAACTCCTAATCAGAAGATGTAAAAACAAAAGCAGCAGCAGTTTTCTTCACTCTGCCCTCTGGTGTTTGAATCGGTCAAACTGCAGAAAGAACAACTGCAGGTTCAACTAAAACCACCACAGAACAAGACTTCAGAGCTTTCAGTGCGCCCCCCTTACTGAAATATTTACCGGAGCAAAGGGGTCCAGTCCTACGCTTGAATAGTTTATTGGTCGCACTGTACGCCGCTCCCTCTGCTTCAGTTATAACTCAAGAGCCATTTGGTGACTTGAAAGATTTAAGGTGATGCAGCTGCAGCGTCGGTCTGCGTCAGAGCTGAATAACAGATGGAGGGCAAGTGGCTGCTTTTTTTATGTAAGTTTCATACGTGAGGAGCAGTTTCACTTCACTGTAAACAGCTGAGCAGAGATCAGGGATTTTATCTGAGCGTCCTCGGAGGGTAAAATAAACGTAAAGTGCAGAAAATCCACCGTACAGTAAAGAGCCTTCATATTCTGAGGCTACAGTCACATAAAATGTTTATATTCTTCGTCCTTATCCTCAAATGAGAGTTTTTGTTGCATTTGATTTAAGATCACAACAAAAGTTAAATATTTATTGCTCATTTACATAACCTGTCACAGTGCCAGGTCACAGATATTGGCAGCGGGTAAAACTAAATCTGTTGCCCCGTACGATTTCTTCTTATCAGATATTTAATTTTAAAACAGAAATAAATTCAAATGCTGTATGAAGTGTAGCCTCACTTGTGAACGGCGAGTCCTGTTTTTTCTTAATTCAGAAGAGAATCTAAAGACCTAAAGTTATATTCAATAAAATGTCTAAAAAAAATCTAATAATTAAATGTACAGTTTTCACAAATCTCCCAAAAACGCTTTCCATATAAAAACAAAAAACAGCTATAATAATAGAATAAATATATAGTATAAATAAATAATCTCACATCTTCTGTTGTCACTTAAAGCTTAAACAGTTTAGATGTTCTTATATTTACTATAAACTGTTGTTTATCACTTTGTTTTCTCACAGATGTTCGAATGAAATCACTTCCCCAGCTGAAGTTTGCTCTCTTTTCTTCTTTCTGTGTCTTTGTAGTTGTGCTTCGCTCCGGGTTTCCTTGGAGCTTTTCTCTCTATCTCCGGAGCTCTGAACGGACTGACGGTGGAGGAGAACATCGGCAAGCTCAAGAGGGTGAGTTCACTTTAATTCGCCGCCATATCTCAGTGAATCGCCGACACTGTTGCCCCCTCTGTGTCCTCACAGCGGGAAGGTTGTGTACAGCAGTAAAATTCAACATACACTTTATTGCAGCAGTAATATTAATCCAAAAACATCAAATATAATAGTAAAACACTGACAGTGACCATTTTACTGCACTCTCAATACTATTTTTAACACTTTTACTTACATAAGGCTTTGAATTCTACTTTGAGTGTAGTATTTTTACAGCGTGGTATTTTTACTAAAGTAAAAGGATATGAATCCTTCTTCCGCCACTAAAAATAAACCGTAGATCATGATGTAGGTTAGTTGAACCTGAAAAACTCTGGGTCAATAATCTCACACTTGAGGTAAAAGTTCAGCGTCCTCGGCTCATTTTTCATTTATGAATGTTGAATTAAAGGCACAACAAGGACGAGCAGCAAACATCACTGAAAAATAAATGAATGCAAATTAAAATGAAATGTTTTAAACTTAAGTTAAGGTAAATAAAGAGTAATAACATAGATCATCAAAAAGTCTTTTCCATTGAACTCTTTTCTTCATGTATTGTTCATGTATTCACAAATCAAGTCATTTTTGGCTCCTTTTTAGCCTGTAAAAACACATATTTGTCCTTTAAAACTGGCTCGAGAACAGGTAAATGAGAGTACACAGAGAGGAAGTTTGTAGGTACAGTCTCTGACCTCCAACACTCACCTCTCATTATTATTAGAAATCATTTCCTGTGATGGAGGAAGAGACCAGAGAGGCGGGGAGGGACTGTGGAAATAGCTGGAGTGACTCATACCTTCATATATATATATACGTGTGTGTGTGTGTGTGTGTGTGTGTGTATTTGTATGCCAGGTCAGAGCTAACTGTCATCTTGTGCCAGCTGCTCAAACGTCCATCACTGCCTTGCTTACCCAACATGCGGCTGGACATCATCAATTATTTACAAAAGGAGGCGCGTGGCCCCGAAAGGCCAACCCCGGTAAATGTCAGAAAGGACAGAAAATAAATGACAAATGCACTCATTACAACGAGGCCTGGCACTGTGGAAATGTGAGATGAAAATTAATGGAGCCGTCAACCGAACAGCCACTCTGATTGTTAAAGCCACGCAGGTCGAACTCAGACTTACCTGTTCGCTGTCTTTATATCTGCGACAGCACAAAAACCTGAACACCAGCCGATGCTTGCATTGTGTCTACTTCATCCTAGTTCTAAGTTGTGTGTTGTTATATACTGTATGTACCAAATTCACTGCTACTAGAAGGCGCAGGAATGGGAGCTCAGCCTACCAGACTCACTTGACAAAACTAGGAATTTTACCTCACAGATAACTCACAGGTAAAAAAAACTTGTTTAAATTGGACAAAAACTAAATGAAACTCACCAAAACCATCTTAGTTTTTCCACAGTCTTTCCAACAATCATCAAAACTGATTTGGTCAAAATAAACTCTTAATTCACCAAGTTAGATGTGAAAATGGGAAGCTACACTGGCAGCAACATAAGCTAATCCTCAGGGGAAAATGCACCTGTTAAAGTTTTAGTTTTTGCCACTGACTGGCTCAGTTTGTTATTCTAAATGTCTGACAACATTATGGAGGAGATCTCTACTGAGATAAACCTCTTTGTTAAAGAGTAAGATGCAGAAAACAGCTCTTATATCGCTATCACTTGCCACCAGACTTAAAATTTTACATTGTAACTTATTCCACTGTTTCCACTGTTCCAAATCTGCTTTGTTTGGATTAAATCCTTAATTCACTGATTGTAGAGGAGAACATACAAATGAGGGGTCTTTCTTCCAAGACTATAAATTGTGTCAAAGACTTTCTTACAGTTGGTGCCCAAGTATTCAAAGTATTTTAGTATTTATGTAATACTTAAATCTACAGTTTTTCCACACTTTAACTCCTCCTTTTTTGTTTAGTTAGATGTTCCTGAAGCTGTCTTTATCAGTATTTTCTTTAAACGTCTTGTGTAGCTCCTCTGATTTCTTTGTGCACTGCATTGTGGGACAATAGTGGACATCGACAGCACAGTCAAAGGTCATATAGTATGTATACTGACATTTTATTTCCTTTTGGTCAGCTTTCCACTGAGAAAATTAAAAAATATTTGTCAATTAATCGATGGAAAGAATGTGATGCCATTTCTCTCTTTTTGACATTTAATAGACCCAACGATTTAGAAATGAATGGAGAAAATAAACAGCTGCTGAAGTGATAATGTAATGCTAAAGTGTTAGTAAGCCCTAAAACACACTACATGCTCACAGTCTGGTTAGAATTAGGATTGTAGAACAATATTGGGACACAGCTTTGGAAATAAAATAAAATAAATTGCAGGTTGTGGTGAGACAGTTGTAGGAAAACAAAAAATATATCATTAAAACTTTGTCACACGTCTTCCTGATCATATCAGACACTGAAGCGTGTTCATTTCTTGTAAACTAACTGTGGAAAAAAAACTATTCAACCAGCTTAGAAACCCCCGAAAGAGCGGAGAACCGATCCCATCCTCTCCAGAGTGTGGGAGGAAGGATCCTGACGTGTCTCTGACGCAGCGATCAGCGGTGGTAATTTCACCTCAGGTGGTGAAGTACCTTGTTTGACCATAATTAGAAAAACTGTTTCACCCTGAAAAACAAAATCAACCAGAAAAAAAAAAAAGATTGTAACTGGAACATTGGCTTGTTGTTTTTATACGTCGAGACATGTTGAGGTGACCTTTAAATAGACGACAGGGAATTTTTTTGGGTTCGATTTTGTGTGTGTTTGTGTGTTTGTGTGTGTGTGTGTGTGTGTGAGAGAGAGAGAGGGGAAGTTGTATGTGTATAAACGACACACACTTTTCATATTTACTGTGGAGTTTAAATGTTTGTTTCATCATTTAGCAAAAAATAATATACATGTTTGTCTTAAAAAACTAGATAACACACATTTTCACTTATTTAGCCACATTTCTGTGATTATTTTCACAGCAATATCGGCACATTTTCCAATATTTATTGCGCCACATTAACATGTAGGCCGCCATGTTTATACAGCAGCCCAGAAGGGACAAACCAAACACTGGCTCTAGATGGGGGGGTTCATGTTTTCGAGCATTCACTAGCCACCGTAGTTTCTCCTTTGCGCTTAGAAGTGGAAGCTGAAACAAGGAGATTTCCGAGCAACTCCTCCTCTGGATGCCACTAGATCCTACACACTGGATCTTTAAGTAAACTTATCAATTATCGTAAAGATTTATCCTCTCATACCTCAAAATGTCTCCAATATACTGTCTCTATAAGAGGTGTGGATCATTAACAGTTACTCAACAGTTACTTGGCCTGCTGCTGATATTTTTGGGCTATAAAACATCCATCCTGCGTTGTTTTGGAATGAAACTCCTCACCAACTGGAGTTTCACCACATCACCATTTCTCACTTCGTCCCCCCACCGGCTGTTTCCACTGTTCAGTGATGGAAAATGTTGGAGGGCTGAACCTGATGCTACCTGAGTAGGAGGCCAGAAGTTTCTTTTAAAGATGTTAAATATCTTTTAAAGAAACACCAAAATATTTGTATCATTTGTGTCGGTATGTGTTGCTTTTATCCTGCAATGCAGTAGACACTGAAATGTCCCCAAATGAATGGTAAACTTTAACATTTATGTTATTATTATCTTATTCTTCCAAGGTGGAATCTGCATTTTAGAGCTTAATTTAAAGAGAGCAACTTTTACTGAAGTAACGTCATGTTTACTAATGCATTCCCTAAGTGTACTGTGAGTGGTTGACAGGTGACTGTGACATCAAAGATGGATGGATAGATAGATAGATGGATGGATGGATGGATGGATAGATGGATAGATAGATAATAACTGTGTTTTAACCTTGTTCACAGGACTACACGGATGCCCTGATCTCAAATTACTATGTAAGTTTTCCCTGTATTGTTTACCATTTTATTGACATCTGTTTATTAAGTAAAGATCTATACATTGTGTTAAAATGAACCTATTGATTGATATTAATTTTCACTTGACCTCAAATGAGTAAATCGTCCCCTGAATGTTAATCTGTTTCAGCTATGGCCGCCAGTCCAGATCGCCAATTTCTACTTCATTCCTCTCCACCACAGGTCAGAGTTTATGGTTTATTAGTATACAAACACTCAGCTGTATTGATCACATGTAAGGTTTGTGCAAAGAATGAGAATCTAAATTGGGTAAACTGAGTATCTGTTCAGCCTCAGAGGAAATGTTGAAAAGCCTGATACTGTCTCAAAGCCTTTCGGGGGTTTAATGTGGCTGAAAATGATTTTAGGACAGGATGATGATGTACTTTTAATGTAGGGAAATTAGGTTTGGAGAAAAAACCCACATACCTGTATAGTAAAAGAACAAACGTCGACATCTCAACAACCCACAGCTTCTATTTAACTGTTTGTATACATACACACCTTCTGACAATGGGGACATATTGCATAACCCCCATGGCCAACATCCCACACTACCTGTTTGAGTTGAGAATCATAGGCAGGAATGAATGTTTCAGCCATCTCTGGTTAAATGTGGAGGTCAGTTTTAGAGGAAAATATAATATATAAACTATAATAAATGAGTTATTGCTCAGATCTGCCCATATCCGTTTCCAGTGTGAACAGATTATTGGTCCTGAAGTGGCGAATGTCGAATGTAGAGCGACGTTGTGACTGTATGAATTCTGATATGACTGTTCACACTGAGGTCACATTGCAACAGATCAAACCTGAATATGATTTGGACCACATATGAAAGTGGCCTGAATCCGAATTGAAATCAGATTCCATGTGATTTGTGCGGTTCACACTGTCGTAAAAAAACCATCATATTTGAGTCACATATGAGCTCATAAATCAGATTCAGGTTACTGTGACGCGGCCTAGAGGCATGTGTGTTGCAAATCTGAAAGTCTTGCACTGTTTCAATTGTGAAAATCTCTTAAATGTCTCAAGAACTAGAATTATAAATGTCTTTTAATAGCGTTATATTTGAGACACTCTCCAGATTAAACACATAAAATGTCGTCCTGCTTGTAGGTTGGCGGTCGTCCAGGTTGTTGCTGTTGGCTGGAACTCCTACCTGACCTGGAAGGCCAATAAGATGTGACCGATGATCACAAGTCTGGCCTGTGTTGATGATGATGATGATGATGATGATGATGATTTTACACTCATTTGTAGTGTGTGTGTGTGTGACATGGGCCGTTCTGGTCTAACTTACTTTATGCTACTTAGTCTTCTGATATTTCCAATGTGTAAAACTGTGACTGAGTCACTCATAAAGGTCGGGAGAAAGTGCTTGTCTACTCTGAATGACAAATTCACACTTGAAAGTCAAACTTGCGTTTGCAGAAATGTCTGTGAAAGTTAGTTATTTATGGAAATAGGATTTGGCAGGGGTGCCGCAGTGTAGCCACACATACGCACAAACACTCATACATTAACACCTACTGGTTGCAAAGGAAACTTTTCTAATCATTTAATGTATTGTTAATCACTTTAAATAATTGTCGTGAAGCATACATTTTTATAGGTTAATGGTAGCATGTTTACTCTTATTATGAAGGAAATTTCCACCTCAGGTTCTCAGTAATAATTCATTGTAATTTACATATTTGGTTTATTTATTTCACCTCATATCTGCACTTCTGCTTCAGCAACTGTTTTCCTACATTTCCCAAAATGCCTTTCTAACAATCCTCTTGGAAAGGCAAGCAAATGTTTTTTTTAGATTTCTGTCATTAATGTACATAAAGTTAGTGATAAGAAAGCAAACACTCTTTACAGGGGTCTCTTTCAGCTGCAGGATGCAATGCATTGTGGTATATTGAGGCTTCTGTTTGGGCAGTAACTGGCCTCATTTGTTTGTCAGTCATGGCTCTGGAAAGATGTGCTTGTTGACGTAATGTTGAAAGAATAGTTTTTTTGGGAGATATGCTTATTTGTGAGTTAGATGAAGCCACTCTCATGTGTACAGTGAATATAAGGCTACAGTCACTAACAGGTTAGCTTAGCTTAGCATAAAGACTGGAAAGGGGAGAAACATTTTTGATGATTTATTACTCATAACTTATTTCAAACTGTAATATTATTACATTATAAGTTACACTACTAGTTACTGGGGAGGGTAATAGTATTAGTAGTAATGAATGGCTCATCTGAAGGTAGTAAAATCCAAATATTAACATGTTATATCTTGTTTGTTTGAATCGTTCCAAAAACCAAAGTGTGTGTGTTTAAGGAGTGTGCTGGACCGATTTTTGACCTGGCCAAGAAATAGTCTGTAACCCCTCTAAGGCTGCACCTTGTCATTCACACACTTTGTACGGATTAAACAAGATATAAAGTGTTAATTAGTGAGTTTCAGAGGTGCTTCTTGGTGGATGTTGTTACCTTTGGACAGAGCTGTTCCACTCTGTGTGCTCAGCTATATAACTTGCTGCTGGGTTTACCTTCATATTTACCATCTGGACTTGAGAGTGGTTTCATATAACTCTCGATAACAAATCAAACTATTCCTTCAAACAGTCAGAACTGTTGAATTATCAAGTCAAACTGCATTGTACAATAATTAAACAACAAAATATACCCAGGTGACCATTGGTGCGTCGACAATCTCCGTTTGGATTTTTCCTTTATTCTTCAATGTACATAATAATCTTTATACTCAGAATGTGCACATTTGTAATAACAAAGGCCGTCTGGCATATGAGACAATAAAGTTTTACCCGAGGTGATGTCAGTGGTGCGTTTGACCTCGCTAACTTTTGTGAACCAACCTAGCTTTGGCTGGGTGGGGTTTGTTTGGAGGGAGATGTGGAGGCTGCTGAGCTCGGCTGTCAACCAAATTAACTGCGCACATTTTTTCCACACAAACACTCTTGGGCTATATCGGGGAAAAGCAAGCGGAAAACGTCTGACGAATCCATTGAAAATCCGCCAAATAGCCTCTTCCCCCGAGGTATATGAGCCTCTCCCCAGAAAGCTGGAATCCATTTCTTGATTCAGCACCAAGGCTTGCTGTGTTTTTAAATCCAGGTAATTAAATGAAGATACAGTACATATCTTTGTTAGCACTCTCACCTTTACATGAGGCAGGATGGAGCTGACATCGGTGTTTAAAATGTTCAGTGTTCAGCACAGACTGAATGTTTAAATGGCTTTTTGAGCTCAGGTAATCATACTAATATTTCTTAGTGAGAATCTACTGATTATGTGTGCTGATTTTTGTACATCCATAAATGTTGAGTTTCTCCCTCTGAATTCTGCTCTTGCCAGGGCAAAAGGGTCATGAAAAGGCCACCATTGGACACTAAAGCATGTATTTTTTTGTTTGAAACAAAAAGATAATTGATTCTTCTCAAATAATAACAGAATAAACTTAAACTAACTGCATTTGGTCTTAACTATGTGAATATACCTCATGAGCATTTAATGTTAAAATATGGGAGAAAACCTTTGTTAATATTTCTTATGACTTTAACACCCTTTGCCATAAGTGTGTGTGTGGTTTTATTGAGTGAGTTGATTAACAGGGCCCTGGCAAAATGACCAAATGACCCCACACTAAATTATTTAAACACCAACTTCTAAACCAAAATACAGAAAACTCATCGCATCTAGCTGTGAACTTCGAGATTGCAACTAACTGAAGACTGCTCGCATTTGTATTTGACAACCTGGGAATGAGAACGGGCTGTTCATCTCACGAAAGACCCTATCTAGACCCAGTATGTGTGTACCTTTCAATATTACATTAAATTTCTGCCAATAGATCCACTTAAATGTTACACACTGGACCTTTTTTTTAAGAGCATTTATGTAAAATAGTTAATATATTAGTGGTTGTGTACGTTTGCCAAGTGCTTGAGGATATTCCTGGTATTAAAATTCACCCATAATCTTCTCAATCAGAGAATGTACAGAAAGGTTCTTGTAATTTTACTTCTGTTATCTCCCCTCATACAGAACACAGAGAGTGTAGTTTTACACTTCATCTCTAAATCGACAACTACAGTCCACCTATGTGGCTTCCTGGGGGGGTCAGTTGTCTAGTGTCTAACTTATGAAAAAGCATCAGAAACTCTGGTCTAATCAGCATAAAATATATATTGTTATTTGTGTTATGTGTCCGACCAGTAGAGCCTTTAAACAGTCAGATCAGGACCACGGACAGCGAAGAGATTCAGTCACTGTAAGGCTTTAAAGAGACTTTCCTCTACAGCAAAAACTCCAGTGTTTTAAATTATTGATTGATTGGATTCTGGATGGAAGTGATAAGATCTAACCTTGCCTTTAATTAGCTCATATTGAGGTAAAAAGAATATTAACGCCTATTTATTGTCATTTTCCTCTTGTTTCATCACTTTGGCTTTAAAGGATCTACAGGCACAAACTCTAAAGTTAAACCTGTTATGTTGACTGTGAAACAGAGTAGGATTTACCAGAATACCTCATCAGTCCAGAGGGACAATTTGATGGAAGCAAGTGTGAATACATATAACACAAATCATTCATTCATATTCATAAAAACCATCTAAAAACATAAATATGATAGAAGAGAGTTGAAATACACAGAGGTTACACATCAAGTTATGATCCCTGCAAACCTAAAGCTGAACTTTCTCAAGGAATCACAAGGGACCCCCCTGGAGCCCCTTCAGAGGCCCCTATATCCTCCTCATGTACCCCTGGGAGGTCCCTCATCCCAACCCTCATATGAACCTGGAAATGTGCCCCCCCTTTGTGTTCATATGGATCGCAGCATCCCCCAGCTGTCCCCCGGGACTATGTTGCCTTGTCGTCTCGATAGTTGTCCAGTTTCCAAACCGGTCTCTGAGCTTGCATTGACGTCAAAGGAGCAGGCTGGATGTATAAAACCCTCCGTCCTCTCCAGTCGCCGCTCACAGGGACTTTTCAGACTCTGCTCCGCCCTGAGAGATCCCACCGGCCGACCACAAAGTTCAGCTGCAGCACCTGCAGAGAATAAAGTGAGTACTGCAGCTTCTCTCCTTTTTTACTCTCGTTTTTTAGTTTAAGTTGAATTTAACGAATGTGTGCAAGCGAGAACATAAAAGGTGGAAAAACAACGGTGCATGCAGATCATCGTCAGCCTGGGACCTTCAGATGTATACAGTCTTTGCTGCTAATATAGAAGATGCATTTAGTCATTTTTGTGCTTTTTAGTCAAGTTTAAACTTCTAAACAGTTAAAAAAAAAAGTGCTTATTTATTCTATTTAAGTTACCTGTGTGATTGACATGTGTATAATATAAAAATCATGTAGTTTAAACCTATAAATAGACAGGTCATCATTACCCAGAGCCAATTATTGACAGGCTACAGTGGAAATAAAATTCAAAATCATTACTTCTTTCTCTCTCAGCCTAAAGCAGTTTGCCTTTACTATGTTCTCTCATTCATACATGTGAGGAAGTAAATTTACCACAAAGATTTACATCAGTCCAAAAAAAGGGCAACAAAAATGGTGTTTAATGTCAGTTTGGTTGTGTAACTGTCTGTGTCATAAAGTGTCTGGATGCCACCTTAATAAACACCTTTTACTTGCAGGACATGAAGCCAGTCCCCCTGCTCCTGCTCCTCTCCTCGGTCCTCCTCTCATCGCACCTCCGCCCCGCCGCCGGCAGACCGCGCATCCTCCCCGGCTGGCTGGATGGCAGCGGCCGCCTCCAGACGCAGCAACTGGACGAAGTGCTCCTCAGAGCGGCCGCCGCCGGGGACAGCACCGCCTCGGATCTCCTGGGCGACAACATCCTGAGGTTTCTCCAAAGGAGGAACCTGAACCCTCTGCGCCTCCTCCCACCACAAGAGGAGAGCGAGGATGAGGCGGTGAGGACGGCGGTGCAGCTGTTGAAACGGAGCGAAGATCCGCCGCTGTCCATCGACCTGACCTTCCACCTGCTGAGGAATATGATCCAGATGGCCAAGATGGAGAGCCAGAGGGAGCAGGCTCAGCTCAACCGCAAAGTCCTCGACGAGGTCGGGAAGTAAAGCTCTATTATCTTATTTTTTTTAAATGCCTCATTAAAACAGCCCAACCGCTGTCTAAGTATTCAAGACCTCTAACATTAGTTGTTGTTTGTGCGCCTGCCTTCTTCTCCACATCATTTTACGCACAGATGGTGCCAAATTACGCATCACAGCAGCCGCGAGTAAAATGTAAAATCTTAAGTGTTATTTAAAGACTTTGTTGGAAAACATGGAAACGGACTTCTCAGACTCCCTCCACCGTCCCCCCCTGGCTTCACCCTCACCCCTCCTCACCCCTCCTCACACACACTCTTCTCCGCACTGGACTTTTGGGAAACTGACGGGTCTTACTGGATTTCAAACTTTAACATTGGGACACATTTAATCCGGATATAAGCAGCGCTGTTCTTTGTCATTTGTCTCTCTGATCAAATGTTTTGATGCTGTGAAGTGGAAATGACAGATCACAAGTTACCAAAATTCTCAAACTCAATATTTCCAGAGTTTGTACTCTTTTGCTAAATTACAGTCTGACTTTATTGAGCTCTTTCTCGTCAGCAAATTGGGTGAGCTCGGTGTTAAAATGCTTGTGTGGAACATTTTAATGATGCTCATGATATTTACCCCCTTTTATAGAGTCCTTGCTTAGGCTGCAGCTACATGAGTCTAATGTCAGGTGCATTATGGGTGCCACCACGCAACTGAATTGGTGTTGTGTAGAAACCATCTAAAATATTATTATTATTAGTGCTGATTGAACTCTGGTCTCCAGTTTATGATCACAATAAGGTAAATAAAGAACAAAATACTCACTTACTATCTTCATATAACATACTTAAGGCTGATCCTTCCTGTTTGCCGTCCACATCCTCTCACTAGTTCATATAAATGACAAATTCATACACTACTACTAAAACAAAGGGGTAATTATGTGATTATAAGATAGAAACATTCAAAACTCCTCTCTGTGGATATCCAACTGTCCTCTGTTATTGATTAATATCCTGGGATTGATGGGATTGGTTTGAAAATGGATCTGAGGTGGAAGGAAAGAGAAAACGCACTTTATGTTGATTTGTTTGTCGCCTCTTACCTTCATCCTCTGTTCTGTCCCTTTTTAGTTTCAGCGGGAGCACTATCACCTGTACTGTATCAACTGTAGCATGCTAATCTACAAAAAAAGTAAGAAAAAAAGCTTTATTTTACCGTAAACATTCACGTCTGACACTGATCACATTGTATTTGTTTTAGCAAAGGAAGAGAAAGCTTTTTTGCCATTTATATTTTGTAATAAAAAAGTTTGAAGTAAAACTCAGAGCATTCGATTCTGTTATTCTGCTCATTATAAATGTGTTCATCGATGATAAAATACAACTCTTTGTGACTGTCTGAAGTGTCTTCAGATGTGTTCCCATTTGTAATAAGATCCTTCCCAAACACAATGATGAAAATGAAAATACTAGAAGCAGAAAATTTACCTAAATGGGCAATTTTTGTCCAGCTTGGGATGCAGTCAAATGATTGTAACAACGGTCATCCGTCAGTTGTGCGTTTGTCCATCAAACAACACTTTCACAGCAGAATCTCAACACCTACTGGCCAGGTTTAATTGAAAGTTAGTTTAGATGTTTATGTCCTCCAGAGGATGATTCCTAATAATGATAACCTTTTTTGTAGCGCCACCATCAGGTCAGGGACTGAAAACAAAAGACAAATGGTTTCGTTTCCCCAAATCTGTTTTTTGTTAACTCGATGATGCTCCTCTAAAGCCACCAGCAGGCCAAATATTCCCAGTGTATGCAAGAAATATTAAAATGTAACAATGTAATTTACTGAACAGATGAACGCTCCTCAGAGAAGAAACCTATTTAAATTGGGAAACTTTGTGAGCTCTCCTCATGCAACGCTCTCAGGACAAGACGAGCATATTCATGCTCACAGGGAGATTAACCTTTTTCATATGTTCTTTCAGTATTTAAGATGTTTCTGCCTTTATTAGATAAGAGAGAGAGAGGGAGGATGACGTGTTAAAAAAGGTTTTGAACCCCTCGGCCATCAGAACTCCCCAACCTTTCTGATTTTAATGACATCCATGGACTTTTCCTTAAAGCCACCCACAGGACAAACTGTATTTACATTCAGATACTATTGCCAGATCAATGCAAGGAAGCAATGTGTATCTTTTGATTTGCATTCTCCAGACCTGAAACTACATTTAACCCGCATATTCAGTAGAGGAATGAGCTGATGTTTCTTTCCTGTAATCACTTCATATGGATGTGATACAGAACAGAAGTTAAATCAAACCAAACTGCTTAATTAGATGCGTCGCTGAGCTGTAGAACATTGATAAAATGTGTTAACTGTAATGACATCTGAGTGTACAATTTATCATCACTTTCAACTGTCTGTTGACTCTTATCACTGCAACAGAAAAGCATTAAGTCTGAAGGCTCAGACATGATGGGAGTGGCAGTTAATGGTGTCTTGTTCAAGTTTCTGAAACAGATAAGAGAGAGAGAGGGAGAAGAAACAAACACAGAAGTCAAAATGGCCTCTGCGTCCTTGTTTCTATGACTCAGTCTAAACTGTGGGTGTGTTGGTGATTCTTCTGCCTTATCACCCTCTCTCTCTGAGTGTGTGTGTATGTTTGTGGGTTCAGTTTCATCTCTCTCATTGTTCTCTACAAGCGCCGTTATACATCACTTTGTAGATCAAAGTGATGACAAACTTGTGTGTGTGTGTCACCGTACTTTTAGCTCTGCAGGACTCAGAAACAAGAGCAAAGAGATTCTCAACGCCACGACTTCTAACATGACGTCACTAAAGACGCAAAATCACCACGACACAATTGAACAAAAAATTACACAAAAAAACTGTCAAATTACTATTTTTCATGCAGTGTAATTTAGATTGAGACATTCATGTTGTTTTTTTTAAATTCTAGACTGCGTTTTTAAACCCAGTTTTACAAAATCCCAGGAGGCAAAAGACTTTCACGATAAGCATTACAATGTCTTCATATTTAAATTATGAAGAATTAGATTTAAAATGTATATATTTGAATTTAATCAAATAAAAACTTAACAGTGGTTTTAGAATATATTTGTGCTTTAATTGATTAAAGTGTATTTATTGTTCAGTGGCCACAATCAAAAAAGATTGTTAGAACATCACCAAGTTTCACACTTTACCAGCAGATCAGATATAGATGCACTTTTTCTTCATAACTTTTATCAAACACTTGTTATAGTCGTGCTTTAATGAAATTTTTACAAATCACCACAACATATTGACAGATGATGTGCTTATGTATTTACAAAACCCACAAACTACATCAGAGTTATCAAAGTGTACAATAAAACCAACACCTCTGCAGCGGGCGTCATAACAGGTATTATCATCATAACTGCAGTTTCAGGAAGATACAAAAAGAAAAGTTATTACAGGAATAAAAGACGCTACAGAAGAAATAAAAACATAACTATGAAAAATAAAAGCTGTATATTAAAAAAAACATAGGAATTAAAAGCATATTGTGACTGTACCTTTTTATTAAAACATTTATTTAGAAGTATCCTTGCTTAGTTGGGAATTTGTTCCAGAGTCAAATGGCCCCTTACCACAAAAGCCAAAAGCCAAAAGTCACATTTTCACCTAGAAACAACCAATCAGGTTTCCACGAGAGAGAAACAGATCAATAATACATTTTGGAGCCAAGCCTAAAAAGTTAAAAGTAAGTAAAGTTTTTTTTTTAAAATCAATGCCATGGCTAGGACAGAAGAAACATGATCATTTATCTGTGTGAGTGAAGAATCATTCTGAACCGGTAGAGAGAGCCTTGACTGATACTGGTGTCAAAGATAGGTGAGGAAAAAAAGACAAAAAGCATCCACTTTTCTTTGTGAATCAACAGATCACCTCTGATACAACTTTTATATCCCCAACCTGTCCATCACACCCAATGCCCCTACATCAACCACCTGACTCCTTGCATACGTCAGGGTTCCTCAGAAAAATTACAACAATTAAATTGGTTTCTTTTAATTATTTCCTTAAAAGAATAAGCCTGGCACCAAGTGTTATTGTCAATAAATCTCATGAAAAATAAATCTTTGAGCTAAAATACTAACTACTACTAATAATACTCACATGCTGATGTTCAGCAGCAAGTATAATGTTTACCATTTTAGTTTAGCATGCTAACATGTGGTAATTAGCACTAAGCACAAAGTACAACTGAAAAAAAGAAGAAAGAAAGAAAAAGTCAGACGATCACTAAAGCCGTTACAGGATTCATCATCCTTGCGAACTGTGCATATCTGAACCAAAGATGGCAATCCATCCAATAGTTGCTGAGATATTTCCGTCAGAACCAAAGTGGTGGATGGACCGGCGTTGCCCTCCCTAGAGCTACTGTTACTCAAACGGGAATAAATGGTGCATTTGTTAGGGACTATTTTCAGCCATGGATTAATAATACGCATTTGGTGCTCAAGTGAGTATTTGCAGCAGCGTTGCTCATTGGTGCGTTTTTAATAGTTTCTGGACAACAATGGAGCTCTATGACACACAGGAATAAGATATACCAGGCTTTAGATACACAAACAATACACAGGCGATTGGTTGACAATAAGAGAAATACAGAATATCACAAGCCTCATTGTTTACCCAAGAACTGCCAGTAGCCCAAACCTTAACCACAGAGGTGGCTGATCAGAAAATGTTCATTATGGAAGGATTACTTCCTGGTCACACATACACAACAACACACAATCCATCAAGCAGTCTTCGAGAAACTCACCCCCCCCTAAAAAAGGCAAGTCATTTGCAGTAACACCTACAGTAATAGGCTTATCTGCCCACTCTTCCAGTTGTACATCCTGCTCACTTGTATTGTCATTCTCCTGCATTTATGCATTAAACAAGAAACAAGAAGTTCAAGGACAGTTTGAGCTGCAAACTCTCTCTCTCTCTGCTCTCAAAGAAACCATTTCTATCTTATTGACTTTAATCCCCGCCCTGTTTTTTCATTCACATAACGTCTGAAAAGAATTAGGAAACTGAAACAAAATGCAAAAAAAAACCTGTAGTCTTTACAGAAGCCTTTACAGAGTATTGTGACAGGAAGCTATATCAGGGCTGTAAATCCCGAAGAAGACGACACACATGAACAAAATCTTTTTACTTTCCCTCCCACAACACAGAATGCAGTGCTAAATCCACTGTATACATTTCCTATGAGCTATACATAGAGAGATATATCTACACACAATACACTGGCTTGTTTTTAACTGAACAAAAGGCAACAATGTGGGAGGCAAAAATCTGGCTAAGTCAGTCCTCCTGCATCTGGGCTGCTGCAGGAGAAAACACAGATGGATAATGTATATAAAGGTATGATTTCGATCATTTATGGGGAGTCTTTCCCCCCCCCCCATGTTGTCTTTGTTGTCCCATGCTCGTCGTGGTTGAATTCACTCTTGAACACTGTGTATATTTCTTCCGGAGGATTATGGTAAACCTCTATTTCCGTCTCTGTTTTACATTTCCTCAGGACTGCAGTAAAGGACCTCGAGTAAAGAAACAAAAGACCAAATATCATGAGATCGGTGTCATCATCCCACGTCTAAAACAATCAGCAGTGACTCTCCAGCTGCTCGGCCTAATGTACCCACGCCGCACAAATACAGCACGGAGGAGGACGCTTGTTGTTGTTGCCTTTTGTCTGAGTCAGCATGAATACACTGATGCTGTCCCCCTTCCTGAGTGGATGAGGGGAATCCTTCACTGTCTCTGCGGCTCTCTTTTTACGTAAGTGGTCTTGTTAGAGATGATTTCACACATCCCCTCTGTACGATACACAGTGAGCTGCCGCCGCCGCTGACTTCAGACTGTGCACATTTTCCAAATATTACAGTTAATCAGCAGAGCAACAAGAACATCCATGAACAGGCTCTGACACATTTGCACTACTTCAGTTTGAGAGGCGTCAGTACAGAGCTTTCTACAGTGATTTTAGAAACTTCTGCAGGATGTTAATTGAAATACTTATGTAGCATTTCATGAAGTTCATGCTTATAGGACATTAGCAGTGAAGCTATAATGTACCATGTATTTATACTGTTTATATACAGCATGTAGACTCTTATGGCATTATTCATGGCTGTTTTCTTCACTGTTAAACAACCACCATTGCAGAAGTTTGTAAGGTTTAAGTCAGGTTACATTTATTCATGTTTGTCGAATTATCTGGCTTCTTTAGCTGCTGGTTTTTTTTAGAGCTTTTGCACTAAAAACGATGCTATGAGAGCTGTGAGAGTGAACTAAAACAGTAAAGTTGTGGCCTGGACGATTGTAGCAGCTTTAATTATTCTGTCCATCGGTGTTAGTTTAGTTATATCGACTGATTAGATTTCTCCTCAAGTTGGAGGTTTGAGACAAAGCTAGGCTGCTTAAAAATTAAAAATTAAAATTCTTTTTTTTTTAAAAGCCTTGTTTGAACTCCTTGGATCAGTATGGTATTGTGGTACAGTCTCAGGCTGCCTTATAGAGGAAATTATAAATCACCTTGCTGATTTAAATCAAGATTCAAAGCCACTGACGAGATTAGGAAATAAATAAATTCTATATTATATTTAGATTAAGGCTAATTAATGACTGTTATTTTTATTATTATATAACAGAAAAGTTTCCAAGTTTGTGAATTTTTCTTCTGCAAAATGAGGAAAAGCTCCTTTGTCTCTGTTCAAAGATGGTCTGTACGATGTGAATGCAAATTCTGACGAAGACCATGAGATGCACTCCAGAAAAAGCTAGTAAGTGAACCTTTTTTTTTTTTTTTCAAACTGTAGATTTCTCACCAGAAACAGTGTATCTATAATTCAGGATTAAATTAACAAATAAAATCTAATGTGTGAGACGGGGTTACAGGTACACTCCTGCGAGCGCCTTACTTCCTGTCCAGCTGATGACTGAGCACTGGAAGCTGAATGACTAATGTGAGGAGTCTGACACTTTCTAAACCAAAATCAAACACACCACAAAGCCTTGGCCAAGCAAAACCTTAATCAATACATCAATAAAGGTCGACAGGGAGCTTCAGAACAGAAACAAACACCTTGTATTTTTACTCAAATTTAACCTTTAAAAAGTCCAAATCTAAAACTTAAGTCACTGAAAACAAGAGCTACCTGTTTTGGTCTTAATATCTGGAGAAGTCAAGTTCTGACTCTTCTCCAGCATCTCCAGGGTCTTCGTCTCCATCATCTCTTACACCTAAAGACACACACATAGTATAGTATATAAACTTGTTTTTAACTTAAAGGTTATATATATGATATTTAGAACATTTATAAAGCAGCAAGCAACTATTTGTTTGTCACGATGTTTTGATGATATGTGAGGTAAAATTGCCGTTTTTGTCCATGGACTCACGGCTGTTTCTGGTGAAACTAAAGGTCTATCTCGGTAGGGAGTTTTTCCTTAATGTTGTCAGACACTTAGAATAATAATTTGAGTCTGTCAGTGGCAAACACAAGCATTTTTAGTCGACATTCTTTGACGGGGGCATTTGTCCCCAAGGATTACCTTACTATTTTCTCACCTATCTTAGGTTTAGTTCGAGTTTGATTGTTGAATAGACTAAAAAAAGGCAGTTTTGTTGAGTTTAATTTTGTTTCTGTCCAATTTAAAGTGTGTTTTATGATAATCTGTGAGGTAGAATTACTGATTTTGTCAATTGAGTCTGGTTGTTCATTTGAGTGAAATTTGTTATTCAATTTATTTATATATTGTGTGGTTTTAAACATGTTTTTACTTTTAACAGAGTCATCTATTACATCTGACTTTTTACCTTACCTTTATTTAAATAGTTACCTCTTCTATTAAACCTAATTGTTTTTTCAATGCATATACCACACAGAAGAAATCATAAAATCAAAACATAACAGAATTAAAGTGGGGGGAAAAGACAAAATACACCCAGTATGAATAAGTACATATATGTTATTCCACTACATCAGAAAGAGGGAAATAGTGCTGCAAATAATAATCAACCCCATAATCAACCAGTCCATACACCTTCTTAACTTATCAATTAATAAAGTAGTCAAAAAATGTTTGTCATGATCTTATTGATTAGGATATTTCCAACAGCTTCACCTCATATTATCTCTGTTAATCTGTAACCAACATGATAACACTTTACTTTTGAACTGTACCACTGCGCATACCGGAGCAGAAGTCCATGTTCATCAGCATGACGGCGAGGTCGTCGGTGTCGATGGCGAAGTGGCTCATGCTCTCATAACCGAGCTCTGGACGCTCCACGTTAGTGGCCCTGGCTGTCGCTGCCATTCTGTCAGCACACACACAGGTTTTCAAAATAAGACTCGGGCATTTAAGTTAAAAACTCCTCACAGTTGAACAGTTTGACTCTATTGTGAGAGTCATTGGAAGTTAAACCTTGATGTTAAAGGTCCAGTGTGCAACATTTGGGAGGAAATATAATATTCATAAGTTTGTTTTCATTAGTGAATAATCGCCTGAAAATAAGAATCCTTTTAGGATAAGACGTTTTTATCTACAGAGGGTGCGAGTCCTCTTCTACGGAGTCCGTCATGTTGACCCGCCATTTTTCTACAGTAGCTCAGAATGGACAAACTAAACACTGGCTCTAAATAGGGCCATTTGCAGCCACCATAGTTTCTCTACATGATTTAAACGGGAGGATGAGGCGAGGGTGCTGCAATCAGACACCACTAGGACTGTAACGATATATCGCAAGACAATTAAATCGCGATACAAATATGTGAAGATTCAAGTTATATGAAAGAAATGAAAAATGAATTGCGATACTCTTTCTGAACTTTTGACTTACGTGACGAACATCGAGTATCGAGCCGCAAAGAAAAAAGAAAATCAGTTTCACCTTTTACGTAGAAAAGAAAAGACCCTGTTTTATACCCTACCTCAGAAATAGAAAAGATTTTCCTAATTTGATAAAGAAAATATAAGAGAAAATGTATAAAGGAATATTTTTTATAGTCATAATTTGTCTTCAATCGTATTTTGTTAAAAAAAATATATATATTGTGGATCGTATTAAATCATGAGTTGCGTGTATCGTTACATCCCTAGATGCCATTAAATCTACACAATGGACCTTTAAATAAGCAAATAAAAACTAACCTTCAACAAATTCAGATATACGGTAAAAGAAAACTCTGGCTGTAACATCACAGATCAACTTAATTTATATGTCTAGGTGAAAGACATTTTTTCCTCTATAATGTTGGAAAAATCAGGCACTCACATGGTCCGACATTGTGACAGCTGATTGTTTGCTCTAAAATAAAAAGTCCAGAATTTTGCTTTGTCACTTTGTTTAAAGTCTTTTACACAATATAAAACATACTCATACATACTTTCACTCATTTTAGGCTTCTAATCTGCAACCTGTGTAGTATTGATACATTCAACAATCAATATTTAATCAGGCAAACTTCCATTTCAAAGGTTATTGATGTTGATTTTAAATACATGGCCAATATTGGCTCAATCCATCAGCAAACCAAACAAACACACACACACACTCAGTGAACTCCGTCTCATCCCCATGTGGCCGGTCGGTGACGACAGCATTCAGAGCAGATTTGTTTGGTTTTTCGATCTCTTGGCAACAGGTTGATCATCTGCTACATAATGTATACGCAATGACTAAATGTCTGAGACAGAGCTGAGGACTGTTAGCACAAAGTGCCTTAATTACTAACAAAGTAATGCTGTATGCTACACTCATGCTAATGCAATCCTCAACATAAACAGAAGTCTAAAGATTTGTGCTTCAAATGGATTTTGGGACTTTCTTTTCTTCTTGTTTATGAGTTTATTCTTAATATTTGGACACATTTGCATATTTATGAGTATTTTCTTTGCCAGGATTTAAGTGCTCTGTTAAAATAAAATAACTGATTAATAAATTAAACTTGTTTGGAATACAAAACAGATTCAGTTTACCTTTTTAAATAGACAATGGCATTTAATTAAAACATTTGCCCTAATTTGCTCTGTAATATATATATATATATACGTGATGCAGTAACAGTTAAATCTGTAAAACCCTTATGGTTGTAAAACTGGTCAAAATCCATGAATATTTAAATTGTTAGTTTAATTGCAGCATAATATTGTTATAATGAGTTTTGGCCAATTAATTGATGGAGAAATGAGGACCGATGGGAAACACAATGTACTACATGACCTCTGCAGTGGCAGAAGAAGTATTCAGATGATTT